AGAGAACTAAGTCAAATTTATAAGAATACAAGTCATCTGACCATTGATAAATGGTCAGAGGATATGAACAGGCAGTTTTCAGAAGAAGAAACTAAAGCTATCTATAGTCATATGAAAAAATGTTCTAAATCACTGTTGATTAGAGAAATGCAAATCAAAACGACTCTGAGGTACCGCACCACACCTATCAGATTGGCTAACACGACAAAACAGGAAAATGATAAATGTTGGAGAAGATGTGGGAAAATTAGAACACTAATGCATTGTTGATGGAGTTGTGAAATGATCCAACCATTCTGGAGAGCAATTTGGAACTATGCCCAAAGGGCTATAAAATTGTGTACACCCTTTGACCCAGCAATATCACTTCTAGGTCTGTATCCCAAAGAAATCATAAAAATGGGACCCACATGTACAAAAATATTTATAGCAGCTCTTTCTGTGGTGGCAAAGAATGGGAAATTGAGGGGATGGGGGGCAGCTAGGTGGCACAGTGGATAGAGCACAGGCCCTAGAGTCAGGAGGTCCTGAGTTCAAATCCAGCCTCAGATACTTAACACTAGCTGTGTGACCTTGAGCAAGTCACTTAACCCTACTGCCTAGCCAAAAAAAAAAAAGGAAATTGAGGGGATGCCCATCAATTGGGGAATAGCTGAACAAGTGGTGGTATATGAATGTAATGGAATTCTATTGTGCTATAAGAAATGATGAGCAGGTGGACTTCAGAAAAACCTGGAAAGACTTATATGGACTGATGCTGAGTGAAATGAGCAGAACCAGGAGAACATTGTACACAGTAACAGCCACACTATGCATTGACTGACTTTGATAGACTTGGCTCTTCACAGCAATGCAAAAATCTAAGACAACTCCAAAAGAATCACGATGGAAATTGCTATCCACACCCAGAGCAAGAACTATGGAGTCTGAATGCAGATGGAAGCATACTATTTGCTCTCCTTTTCCTTTGTTGTTTTGTTTTATTGCTTCATTCTCGTGATTCTTCCTATTAGTTCCAATTGTTCTTTGCATCATGACTAATGGGAAAATATGCTTAATATGAATGTGTAAGTAGAACCTATATCAGATTGCACATCATCTTAGGGGAGAGAGGGAGAAAATTTAAAACTTTAAATCTTATGGAAGTGAATGTTGAAAACTAAAAATAAATTAATTTTTTTAAAGCCATTAGATTTTACAAGTAAGAGATCACTTGTGACTTTGAAAAATTGCAAAGGGTTTAGAATTAAGTGAGAGGAGGCACAGATTGTAAACAGCTCTCTCAAGGAGTTTAGCCCAAAAAAGGGAGGAAAGATATTGATTGATTGCTAACAGAATGGTAGAATTAAGTGAGAGCTTTCTAAGGAGGAAGGAGACCTAGGCATATCTATAAGCAGCAAGGAAGCAGCCAATAGATAAAGACAGAAGATGGAGGGAGGGCAATCTACTGAAGAATAGGAGAAAGGAGAGAAGGATTCATGTAGACGGGTTTGCTTTGACAAGGAGAAGTTTCCTCTTTCTTCATGAGAAACAGGGATGAAGGAAAAGCTAGTAAAGAAGACATTTGATGTGAGATGAAGTGGGGATAGAAGAGCCAGCTCTCATCAAGTGGTTTCATTTTTTTCATTGACATATGAGGTGAGGTCCTCAGATGAGAGGATGGGGGAAAAGGGATGCATGAGAGGCTTGAGAAGGGATGAAAAGGTTTGGAATAGCTGCTAGTTGTGCTGAGTAGGATAGTGAGTCCCTTACAGAGGAGTAAAAGAATTACTTTGCTGCAGTGAGACTATGTCACATAAATTTTTCGTGGACTCAGTCACAACATGGTTTTGGGATTTTCTCCAGCTCTGTGTAGCAGCACACAAATAAGAGTGAAGGCAGTGGATTATGGAAATAATCCAAGGTTGGGGAATGAGTGGTGATGTGATAAAGAACAAAGGATTCAAGTGGAAAAGAGTGTAAAGTTGAATTGCTTCACCAAGAGATCAAGCTAAGGAAGGAAGGAAAGAGCACCTAGGCATTGCAGGGATGATGGCCTGGGAAAGAACTGAGTGGTGAAGGGACTGGAGGTAACAGTGAAAGTGAAGAACAAGGTTCAGAGTCATAAGGCAGAAGGAAAGGTAGAATGGCAAAAGATTATGACCAGATAAATGAATTTCAGATTTCATGAATACAGAAATGGAACACTTGTGGATGATGACAAGATAAAATGTACCACTGTGCATAACTGAAGCAGAGTCAAGGATTAAGTCATGGGGAAATAAGTAAAATTGAGGAAGTGGGGAGTTAGGGCATTTGAAAGAGAATCAATATATGAAGTCATACGTGAATATGTGAATCAATATGAAGTCTGCTAGTATAACAGCAAGAGTTGGGATGGAGAGAAAGCCTCTGAGTCAGGCACTGAACTCATTGAGGAAGGAAGGAGAGTGTTTTGTGGCTGTAGGTATATAACAGCTACCAGACTCTTTATAATTACATATTGAATGAATGCACCTCAAAGAAGGAGAAATTACTGAGTAACAGTGACAGAGGGAAAGCCTGGGAGTGGCAATGGGGAACAAGGAGCTTTCCAACTCCCTCACCACGAAAACAGACTCAAGGGGTAATCAAGCCCAATCAATCAGTAAACATTTATTAAGTGCCAGGCACCGAGCTAAGCACTGGGGATACAAAAAGAGGCAAATGAGTAAAAATTCAATCAGTACTAAGAGGGGTATCCCAGTCAGAGGATGAAGGGAGTGGGAAGGGAAAAGATTAAAGATGAAAGCAAGTGTGTTAACTATGAAACAAGTATTCCAGAAAACACAGTGAAAGGGATGGCAGATCTGACGTGGTACATGGCGGAAAAGGCTTATGGTTGAGGGAGATGAGAGTAAAGCAGTGAGAGATGGGGAAAGTTTGTACAATGACATGTGGGGATTCAGAATCACTGGGGTAAGTAAGAATAGGATGCAGTGGTGAGTATGTTCACCTTTGAGGAATGAGTCCAAGCAAAGAATCCTGGCTGTCCCCCATCCCTGGAATTGACTCCCTCATCTGTCTCCTGGCTTCCTTCTAGTCAAAGCTAAAATCCCACCTTCTTTGCAAAACCTTTCCCAGTCCAGTCTTTCCTCTAAGATTATCTCCAATTTATCCTCTCTATATCTTGTTTGTACATAATTGTTTGCATATCATCTCCTCTATTAACCTGCCAGATCCTTGAGAGTAGCGACTGGATTTTGGTTTTTGTTTTGGGTTTGGAGTTTTTTTTGGGGGGGGTGTTTTTTGGGGGGGTGCCTTTCTTCTTATCCCCAGAATTTAGCATTGTTTCTTACACATAGTAGGTGCTTAATAAGTGTTTATTGAACTACCTGTGTGACTTAGGCAAGTCACTTAACCCCAACTGCCTCTCAAAAAAAAAAAAAGCTTTTTGTCTGATATTTTACAGATGGGGAAAATAAGGCACAGAGAGGTTAAGTGACTAGGATCACACCGATAATTTGTGAAGTACAATTAGGAAGACCTTGCAAGTCCATCACTCCATTCTCACCCCCCACACACACCCCAGCTCACAAGAGTTTTCTTCCTCCTTCCCCTTCCCCTCCCCACCCCTTGCAGAGGAAAATGAGGTACAAGAGAAAAAAGTAAATTTATCCCTTCACTAATTTTTTTCTTCTTTTTTTTTCCTTTAAAAAAATTCTTTGTTATAAGGGATGGCTCTCTGCAATAGGAAGCAGGAAGGATCCAAAGTGATGTCAAAATGGAAGATATCCATAAGCATTTATTTAAAAAAAAATTAGATGTGAGAAACTTAAAAAAAAAAAACACATCAAAATCTAATAAGTAATTGCACACAACTCACCTCTTGCCCAAGAGGTAATGACTTAATAAGACTTCCATTTTTGGATATGGCCAATGTGGGAATTTGTCACATTTATTTTGAGTTTTTTCTTCTTTTTTTTTTTATTGTTCAGTTAAGGTGGAGAGAGTGAGAGAGGGAGGGAGAAATAATAAGCATTTATAATAAAAAAAAAAGAAGCCAAAATTTGTAAGATTTATAAGATTTTACTAGTGCAGACTTGTCACATGATAATTTACACATAGTTATTATGAAGGTTTCCCAAAGATGTCTAACAATCATTAAAGTCCTGAAAATAAGCGATCACTTAGTGATATTTAGTTTAATTTAGTTTAGTTTAATATGGAAGAAAATGTCTAATAGGAGTATGGAGATCAAATGATGTTCTGAGAACTGGGGGCAACCTACAATTTTAAATGTTTTTAATCATAAAATAGAAAATTATCAGCAAACGAAGATTTCCAATATACAGAGGTCAGAAAAAGAGGATTCTACATGACGTTGTGAACTTACTACACATGACTTTTTACAAAATATTTATTAAATGTAGTGTATGTAAACATACATAATTGGTGAGAAACTAAAAAAGATATCAAAAGTCTATTTTTAAAAATAGTTGGTGAACACGTACCTGGAGAAAAATAAAATACTAAAATAATTTTTTTAAAAAATAGTTGGTGAGAAACTTTAAAAATATCCAAAATCGATTTTTAAAATGGTTGGTGAGGAATTTTTTTAAAAGTTTAAAAATCTGTTTTAAAAAATAAATAAATGGCAGGAAACTTTAAAATTTTTAAATCTATTTTAAAAATAAATGATGAGAAACTAAATATATATATCAAAAATCTATTTTTTAAAATGGTGAGAAACCAAAAAATATTTAAAATCTGTTTTAAATAGATGGTGAGAAATTTTAAAAAGCTATTTTTAAAAAGGAATAACTGAGTGAAAAACTTTTTAAAATAAATCAACAAAGATGTTGGTTTTTCCTTTAAGGACCCCGGTACCCAGTAGGGGCTTAATAGTTGCTCGGGCTCCGCCCCTCGGCTCCAGGGCGGCCCCGCCCGCGCACTGCTCGGCCCGGTGGGCGTCCCCTGCGCACGAGGCCCAGGCCGCCGGAGGAGTCGGGAAGCCCGGCTGTCCTAGCTCCTCCCAGGCAGCAGAGGGCTCCGGGCTGCCGGCTCCGTAACGGGAGGGCGGGGCCGGAGCTGGAGCCCTAGCAGTGGCTGGAGCCGGCGAAGGGGCGGGAGTCGGTTTCAGGCTGGACCACGAAAGCAAGGCAGGAGTCATGCAGGTAAGGTGGGATCCTCCAGCCCTCCTGCTGCGCTCCCCGGCAGGCGCCTGGGAGTTCCACCCCACCCTAGGCATGGGCCTGCAGGCAAAAGTGAAACAGAAAGCGCCAGACCTGGGCTGAGGAAGGGGGTCCTGACCTTGCTGCGCCGGGTGGGGGAGGGGCGGTGCAGGGGTAGCCTCGCCTTTCTTGCCTGCTTGGAAGGGCGCTTGTCCTGGGATTAGAGAGAATGAACCCGAGGGAGGGGGGGAGGGTCTCAGGCTCGAGGGAAGGGGGGGGGTCTCAGAATGTGGAGGCGGGGCGAGTCCCATCCCTCAGAATCTAGAGTTGGAGGAGTCTCCGGGCTTGGAGCCAGTTCTGGGTGCTGGGGGCGGGGGCGCTGGAGCGGGGCGGGACAAGGAGAGAGACTTAGAGTTGAGGGCCAGGGAAGTTTTTCCAGACTGAGAACCAGAACTTGAAAAGTGTCTCAGCCGGGAGGAAATGAGGTTGAAAAGTCAGTCTCAGGTCTTGGGAGTCAGAACTGGGCTGAGCATGGGGAGGGGAGCGGGCCTGGGGATACAGGATGGGAAGAGTCGCCACCCTGGAGGCCAAAAGTATGGAGGCCGGAAAAGGAATCATCTTAGCAGGTCTCCAAAGAGGGGGATACAAGGCACAGTTGTGGCAGCCGGGTCCTGGGGGCTGGGAGGGGGGATGCCATCAGAATCTCTGCCTTCCCAGGCTTCAGTAACGTCTCTAGCCAGAAAGGAGGCCGTTCAGGCTGCAGCCAGAGAGTTGCTAAAGTTCGTGAACCGAGGACCCTCTCCCTTTCACGGTAAGTGACTGAGCCCTTTGGAGAAGAGAGAGCGCTGAGCCCCATTCTAGAGTCCCCACCCTCCCCCACTCCCCAGTTCTCTGTGATGGAGGTCACCTTCCCCCTCTACAGTGGTGGCAGAATGTCGAAGCCGACTTCTCCAGGCTGGCTTCCAAGAGCTCAAAGAGACTGAGAAATGGGACCTGCAGCCCGAATGCAAGGTATGGAAGGCTGGGGCAAGGACATGCATGGGAGGTCAGAGTCTGCAGGATGGAGCAGGATATTTTGCCAAGCAGTCCCATTGAGGGCTCCTCCCCCTTCTTTCCTTAGTACTTTGTGACCAGGAACTCCTCCACCATCATCGCATTTGCAGTGGGGGGCCAGTATTCTCCAGGCAATGGCTTTAGCCTCATCGGGGCCCACACGGACAGCCCTTCCCTTCGGGTATGGAAATCTGGGGAGCCCTACTCATGGGCCCCAGCTTGGGGTCCTGAAACGGGATGGGGGGACCCGTGGACATACCACCAAGGGTACGAAACAGGGAGGGCAAGAGGAAGACCAGGAGATAAGGTTGGAGATCCTGGGGGAGGGGGTTTGTTTCCTAAGCTCTCTGAATGCTTACCCTATAATAATACTTCATCCTATCAAACCACAACCACCACCACCACCAAGTTCTGAGAGCCCCGATAAGGAGCTGTGACTTCAGGTCCCATTTCCCCATTTCACGTCCTGGGCATCATGAGGGCTGGCAGGGTTGGCCAGGCTCCAAGAGCCCACTCCAGGTGGGGCTGCAGGCCATCACCATCATCTCCTTCCTAAATGCCCTTTGAGAGCCCTTGTGAACTGTACTGATTTTTCCTGTGTATGTTTGGTCTCCCCAAGCAGACTATAATTCTCTTAAGGCAGATACAGGATCCTACAGCTTTTTATCACCTGATAGTGTACGTCTTATCCCAGGTAAAGCGCAGGTCCCGTCGGAATCAGGCAGGTTTCCTACAGGTTGGTATAGAAACTTATGGGGGTGGCATCTGGAGCACCTGGTTTGACCGTGACCTCACGTTGGCTGGACGAGTCATTATCAAGGTAGGGAGTGGAACTGGGGTACTTGGGGTTAGGCAGGAACCAAGCCTTTTATGTCCACAGCATCCCCTTCAGAGAGCTGCTCAGGAAAAGGTAGGTGGGGACCCCCAGGGTCAGGGGATTCTAAAGAGGTGGTTTGGGCCTCTGCCAGTCAGAAGATTGGAAGCTTAAGTTGATTTGTTGAAGCTTTGGGAGGCTACACACAGAAGAAGGGCATGGGATCTGGGTTGACCCATTACCTGTCTGGTTACAGAACCCTACCTCAGACCAAATTGAACAGCGGTTGGTGCACGTGGAGAAGCCCATACTGCGCATCCCACACTTGGCAATTCATCTTCATCGGACCGTCAATGAGAGCTTCGGTCCCAACACTGAGACCCACTTGTGAGAAAAGGGCTTAAGGATGGGGGGCAGGGGGGAGGGACATTACAGGTGCGACCCCCTAGGGGACGTAGATCAGGATGAGGCCAGCTGGGTGAGGGGGATCAGGGATGCTGGTGGTCGTTCCTCCCCTTTAGGAATATGAGAAGGTCCACTTGATGGTCGTATGTTTTGATTGAGAAAACCCATAGTGACAGAATGCTACTGTGAATTCAATAATGCTTTAGGTGAACTATGTTATTAATCACTATGACTAGTAAGAATATATATCTGTGTGGAGATGTTATTTATTCTATGCACAGTATGTTTGATAGTTTTCTACTGAGTCATTTGATCAGCCAGACCCCCTTGCAATAACTCTGAGGGTCCCCTTAACCCCAGAGTCCATAGGTTGGGAACCACTGTACTAAGGGATGAGGATAAGAGAGATTAGACGGATGAAAGATAAAGGGCCATTTAGGGACCAGGTGAGCATTTGTAGTAGGAGGCATGGGCTGGAGCAGCATACATCCAGACCTCTGAGGCGCTTCCCCTGCCCCACCCTCCCTCATTCTACTGGCCTCCACACCAACCTCTCATCTACCTCCTTGCAGAATACCCATTCTGGCCACAGCGGTCCAGGAGGAGCTGGAGAAGGGGATGCCTGATTCAGGGGCTCCTACCAACCAGGTGAGAAAGAGGACTGACGTCCAGGATGGCAAGAAAGGAAGAGATAGGAGGATTTGGGGGGTGGGGGTAGGAAAGTGCACATAGAAGTCTTGGAATAAAGTGTCCCCAAGTGACCACTCTCCAACTCGTACCTCTCCCTGTAGATGGATCGACACCAGTCAGTGCTTATGTCTCTTCTATCTGCCCAGTTGGGGCAGAGCCCTGAGGACATTCTGGAAATGGAATTGTGTCTCACAGACACTCAGCCTGCGGTGAGGAGAGAGCGGACCCCCCCTCCCCACCTCCAGCCGATGCCCTGGGCTTAGCCCTGCATGATGGAGATAGATACCAAACCTCAGGGGGGCTTGGAGGTTAAGTGGGGAACAAAGAACAGGAGGGGTTTTTCCTATTAAGGATCAGTGGAAGTGTGGCACTGTGGAGAGGAGGGAGGAGGGCTGGCCCAGGCTAACCATTCCATCTTTCCAGGTCCTGGGAGGTGCCTTTGAGGAGTTCATCTTTGCACCCCGTCTGGACAACCTGCACAGCTGCTTCTGTGCCCTCCAGGTGTGGAGCCAGGGGCTTGGCAGACCTACGTGCCCTTCTCCATCCCCATAGCGCAAAGCCTTGGACGTATGGGGGGAGTCACTAATGCAACATAGAGGGGTTGAGGAAGGCCAGCATTTCTGTCTCAGACCCTTGAGGGGATGTGGGAGGGAGGCAGTGGGCTGCCACTAACAGTATCATCCACCCTTTCCTAGTAGCACCTCCTACAGTGATGCTGAGGAAGGGTAGGTTGGAGCATGTGGGAGAGAGCTGGCATGCCTCAGGAACCCCAGTTGTTATAGCCATGGCGACAGAGGGTGGGGAGGCAAGGGAGAGAGCCACCTTGGCCCCTAGAAGTGGCCTTTCCTTTAAAAACGCAACACAACACTCAACGATATAGTAGCCACTTAAAAATGCTTGTAGGGGCAGCTAGGTGGCGCAGTGGATAGAGCACCAGCCCTGGAGTTAGGAGGACCTGAGTTCAAATCTAGCCTCAGACTTTTGACATTTCCTAACTGTGTGACCCTGGGCAAGTCACTTAACCCCATTGCCTAGCCAAAAAGAAAAAAAAATGCTTGTGACCAAGTGATTCTGTCTCCACTCCCAGGCTTTGATTGACTCCTGTTCAGTCCCAGCATCCCTTGCTTCTGACCCTAATGTTCGAATGGTTGCACTGTATGACCACGAAGAGGTGAGACCTGAGGCCTGATGGGAAGGGGTGGGGAGGGGAGGGGAGGACAGGGTGCTGGTGTCTGTCCATCCCTGTTAACATTTTCTAAGCATTTATTCTATGTAAGGACCTGTGGAAAGGGCTGGAGATGGTAAGAAGAAGGCCACATTCTTTGCTCTGTCTAGAATACTTTTCTCCTCCATATCTCTCTCTCTCTCGCTCTCTCCCTCTCTCCCTCTCTCTCTCTCTGTCTCTCTGTCTCTCTCCCTGTCTCTCTCTCCCTCTTTCCCTCTCTCTCTCTCCCTCTCTCCCTCTCTCTCTCTCTCTCTCTCTCTCTCTCTCTCTCTCTCCCTCTCTCTCTCTCTCTCTCTCTCTCTCTCTCTCTCTCTCTCTCTCTCTCTCTCTCTCTCTCTCTCTCTCCCTCTCTCTCCCTCTCTCCCTCTCTCTCTCTCTGTCTCTCTGTCTCTCTC